CCTACAGAAACATAACCACAAATTGGATTTCATTAAAATTGATATATTATATATTTTAATTATCCGAGCTGAGGATGGGTTTTTGGAGTTAGCTCACCCTCACGGGATCGCAACCCTTTATCCAGGCCATTGTAGAATAGAAATGAAAGAAAAAAGGGAATGATATAATAACATAATAATAAGATTTGAATCTCAAAACACAAAACAAAGAGGGGATATGATGAAATTGGTAAACGCTACGGACTTAATTGGATTGAGCCTTGGTATAGAAACTTACTAAGTGAAATGATTTAGAATTCTATAAAAGGAATTAGTCCTTTGATTTTCACACACATAATTTATTTGGAGGAAAATGTTAAACCCTCCAAGGAAATGCAACAAAGGCTTAATCCTAATATGAAAGAAGTAGTGAAAAATGAAGTCATTAAGCTTTTAGATAATGCAGTCATTTATCCTATTTCTGACAGCAAATGGGTAAGTCCTACCTAAGTTGTACCCAAGAAGTCTTGAGTCAATGTGATAACAAATGAGAACAATGAGTTAATTCCCACTAGGATTGTTACTGGTTGGTGCATGTGCATTGACTATAGAAAACTTAGTTCAATGACTAAAAAAGGTTATTTTCTCTTACCTTTTATGGATCAAATCCTAGAAAGAGTTGCAGGTCATGAATTTTATTGTTTTCTAGATGGCTATTTAGGTTACAACCAAATTGAAATTGCATTGGAAGATCAAGACAAGACTACTTTCACATGTCCGTTTGGTACTTTTGCATATCGAATGATGCCTTTTGGATTATGTAATGCACCAGCCACATTTCAAAGATGCATGCTTAGTATATTTAGTGATATGGTTGAACATTTTCTTGAGATTTTTATAGATGATTTTTTTATTTTTAGCGATTCATTTGATGATTGTTTGACTAACTTAGAAAAGGTTTTGAGCAGGTGTAAAGAGATAGGTTCATCAAAGATTTTAGTGTAATATCTAAGCCCTTAAGTAACCTTCTAATTAAGGATAATATTTTTGAATGGTTTGAACATTGTGAAAAAGCCTTTGTTAAACTTAAAAACTTGCTTACTTTTGCTCTTGTCATTCAACCTCCTGAGTGGTTATTACCTTTCGAAATAATGTGTGACGCTAGTGATTATGTCCTAGGTGTTGTTTTGTAACAAAGAAAAGATAAGAAACCTTATATGATTTAGTATACAAGTAAAACTTTAAGTATTACTCAAATGAATTACATCACCACTGAAAAAGAATTACTTGCAATAGTATTTGTATGTGAAAAATTCAGGTCTTATCTTGTTGGCTCACCTATTGTTATTTTTAGTGATTATGCAACATTAAAATATCTTTTTTCTAAGAAAGATTCTAAAGCTAGATTGGTGCGATGGATTTTGTTACTTTAAGAATTTGATATCACAATCAAAGACAAGAAAGGACTGAAAATGTTATCACAGATCATTTGTCAAGATTGACAACAGATTCAAAAATTGACATCACACCAATCGATGACTACTTTCCTAATGAATCTTGACTTTTTGTCTCTACAATGTCTTGGTTTGCTAATATTGTCAATTTTCTTATATCAAGACAATTTCCAACTCATTAGAGTACCCAAGATAAAAGAAAGTTCTTGAACGAAGTGAAAAACGTTTATTGGGATGACCCTTATTTATTCAAATATTATCCTGATCAAATATTTTGAAGATGCATTCCTGGCAATTAAGTAAGTAGTGTCATTAAATTTTATTATTCTAAGACATGTAGGGGTCATTTCTCATCAAGAAAGACAATTGCAAAAATCTTACAAAGTGGATTTTAGTGGCCCACAATGTTCAAGGACTCACATGCATTCTGCAAGACTTATGAAAATTATCAAAAGTTGGGATCTATTTTAAAACGTCATATAATGCCTTTAAATACTATTCTTGTCATTAAGATCTTTGACTGTTGGGGTAATTTCATAGGTCCATTTCCTCTATTATTTTAGTTTTTTGTACATATTAGTCGTAGTAGATTATGTTTCAAAATTGATAGAGGTAATTCCAAGTCGAAACAATGATCATAAAACAGTGACAAAGTTTTTAAAAGAAAATATTTTGAGTCGATTTGGAATCCCTTGAGCCATGATAAATGATGGTAGAATATATTTCTGCAACAAGCCATTTGAGTCTTTAATGAAGAAATATGGAATCACACATAAAGTTGCCACCCTTTATCACCCTTAAACAAGTAGAGCTTCCTAATAGGAAGATCAAACAAATTTTAGAGAAAACAGTGAACTCTAATAGGAAAGACTGGTCTTTAAGACTTAATGATACACTTTAGGCTTATCGAACTGTGTATAAAATATCATTAGGTATGTCACCTTATAGACTAGTTTATGGAAAACCTTGTCATTTGCCTGTGGAACTTGAACATAAAGCTTATTGGGCTATTAAAGCTTTCAATTTAAATCTTGATGATGCTAGTCAACTACGAAAATTACAAATAAATAAGCTTGAGGAATAAGAAATGATGCATATGAAAATTCAAAAATTCATCAAGCAAGAATCAAAGAGTTTTATGACAAGAAAATACTGAGAAAAACATTCAATATTGGTCAAAAATTCTTATTTTATAATTCTCAACTCCATTTATTTTCTGAAAAACTAAGATCAAGATGGAGCGGTCCTTTTATTATAAAACATGTGTATCCATATGGGGCCTGTGATATCGAGAATTCAAAGAATGACAATGTTTTAAAGGTAAATGGACATCGTTTGAAAGTTTACTTTGATGATTTTTAATTGAAAATGACTCTATTGAATTGGGTGATCCTGTATATAAAGAGTGATTTTTTTCCTCACATTGTTTTTGTGTTTCTTTTTGAGTGATTTTTGCTAGTTTCTCTCACCCCGGTCAAATGGTGGACAACGATACTTCGTGACTTAAGTCGGTTCTTTCAGTTTCTCATAATAACTGATATATGTATATATATTTATGCAATTCTTCGAATCTCTCTTCCAATTCTCATTTGAAAATGGACCACTCTTGAAAAATTGAAAAAGTATTTTCCTACTTTGCCTTAGAATGTGATTACAAAAATTTACCTTGTTAGATGTATAAGATTGGGGTTGTTAATAAATCATGGAATTCCTGAAGATATTCAATGGCTGATTGAAGCAAAGGTCTGATTATTAGGTGAGTCGTCTAATTCCTTCATTTCACACATGCCTTGAACAGGTAAAAGCACTTTTGCAAAGAAATGTCATGCAAAACGACTGAAAGTCTATCATTGATGTGCTAAATGAACTTGTAATACACAATGTCATTTTTTAGGAATGGTATCTATAAACCATTAAAATAAAATACAATTTGTTAAGGATGGCTTGAGTAAGGAGTCTTTAAATAATCTTGTATTAATTCTTGAGACGCATCCTAGTAGAGATGTGTATCATGCAATTCATGATTTAAAGCCACTATTCCATAAAGAACATGGTCGATATAGTCTTGGGAATCTGACTAAAAAAGATCTTATTTGCTGGTTTTTTAAAAAACTGGATAGGAAGCAATCCCCGACCCATAGAGGGCGTTTAAGGTGTCTTTAGACATAAAACCAAGGGAAGATATGAGCCACAATCACAACTATGATTTGAGTCGTAGTTTGTGAAAACTTGTGCCTTTTGGTTTTATTAATAGAATAATATTTGTGTTTTGCTATTTTTTTATATTTGTTTAAGTGTGTTTCAGGTTTATCAGTGTTCGGTGTTTCAAGTGATGTCTTCTATACTCAATCTTTCTACCTTAGGACATTGAGGACAATGTCTTGTTTTGGTTGGGGGGAGAGGGTAGTTGTTGATATTAAAAAAAAAAAACTAACTGTGTTTTTTTTTTCATAAACCATTTGCAAACTATTGTTACTAAGATGACAGAGTAAGGAAGAATTTTATTTACTCTTACGACGTATTTTGGTTAACATTTTTCAATGGATATTTACAATATTCATAACAAGGTCTATCATAATACTTCTTAAAATATTCACGTTTACAAACTCTCGCATTATTATCACTTAATTCTACTCATATACTCATTTAATATGTATTCTTAAACCATAATTTTCACACACACACACACACTTTAACATATGATTATGGGTTGCACATTAGATTATTATATTTGTTATGTTCTTTTGTTAAAGGTAATAGCTAAGGGAAATGGACAGTATATAATTTGAAAAAAAAGAAGCAAAAATAATAATAATAATAAAAATATAGATAAGTTTGGTTTTGTAGCCTCCCTAACCTAAGTAATGAAGCCCGAAAGATTATTTTAACACCTAATACCCTAAAGTCAACTGACTTGGGAGCTATTGGATCAATGCTTGTTACATGGGTTGAGGAGAAAAGCTTAAAGGAATCAAATATTGTACTATCTACGTATCAGTATTTGCAATCCGAGTTAATAAGCTTGTAGGGGTGTCTCAACACCTAATGCCCTAAGACCCACTAGTCCGGGAGTTATTAGCCGAAATCTCATTAGATGGGTTAAAGATGCATTGTGTTTTAAGTTACATGTATATATTTTAAAAAAAAAAAGAAAAAAAATCTCAACCCAAGGAAGTTAACCTTAAACATTAGAACAAAAATTTTGTTTTCTTCCAAGTAAAGCCCCATTTCTATATATTGATATATTGAGCATAAAAGAAAGGTTTATTAATATCTTGTTTAAAAGGTATTGAGCAAATATATAAATTTAATGAGAGCTTATTTATCTAGATAGATTAATGGAAGTTGAATGATGAATACCATGCTTTGTGGAATTTGCAAATTCTTTTTTTATTTTAATGCTTTGATTACTAGGGAGTAGTAATAAGCTGGTTAGGAGTGTGATTAGTACTTAAAAGTACATTTTTATCAAGATTTTATATTATCATTTTGCACTTGAAGTATCAATAACTCCTTAACTAAAGCATATTTTATAATAACATATCTAATAATATAAGATACCTTTAATTTATGGTAAATGTTTATTTTAAATGATGGCCTATCACATAAATGAAAGGATTGATTGATGAATTTAAGATACCTTTAATTTGTGGTAAATGTTTATTTTAAATGCAAGCCTATTACATAAATGAAAGAATTGATTGATGAATTTAAGAATTGAAATTGAAAGGACAAAAAGATGGCCAAACTTAGAAAAGAGATATTGGTGCAGTCCAAATCAGAACACTATTCGGTAATTGGGTCATATTTGGAGCTGTAGATCTTGAATTTAGGTCTACTTTATATGGATGGAAAGGTAAGACATAGGCCTACAACTTTTATGTGGAGGTCTGGTTTTAAGAAGGTCATTTTCAAGATCAAATTATAGCAACAACAAAGAAGTCTGAATTTGTCCTGCAGCCCGAACACTATTTAATATTTGGCCTATATCTGGAGTTCTGAAGTTTGAATGACCTCCATGTTTTTTTTTTTTTTGAAAGCTGAGACAATTTCCTACAACTTTCATGTCTCAAGTGGTTCCAATTCTGATGTTATTACTAACGTTTTGGGCATACATGAGAAGATAAAGATTGTCACCAGGTCAAAAGTTGGTCACCCACTCATCAATTAGTCATCAAATTAATAGTTCCTAATTTTGGCCTATAAAAGAAGGCATTTGCCATGTGTTTAGGCATCTTGGTCTCCAAATCAAGATCATGCTCTTGCTTTCTCTCTTTGTATCTTTGTATTGTCTAAGTTTTGCTTTCATTAATATCAAGTTTATGCCTTTTATTTTCTTTCCTTTACTTAGTTAACTTTTATCTTATTTATGTTCTTATTTTATTTATTTATGTTTCTTTCTTTCATTATGTTTAATTAAGTTTATTATATTAAGGTGAAAAGGTTATACTAATGATGTAAGAATAAGTATAGTATAAATTTAACATGACTTTAATGTTTGATGCTAACATGTTTTGTATTTGTTATCTTGTTAACTCTTTAATATTTTACTTGTTAAATGACTAATCTAGATTTATGTTATATAACACTTGGTACAACAAATGCTTGACACTTTCATAACACAAACCATATGGTATAACTGATACCTATGCTATGAAAGGAACTTGATTTGTTGTTAACATAAGTTATAATCATGAATGTCTAACAACATTTACAAGTATTAGCATTAATCGAATAAGATAACTAATGTAATCATGTTAATAATTTATAATTTGATTGGAACCTTCTTTATGTGTGGTTTCTAATTGAATAATAAGAGTTTATATTATTCTTGTTTGACATACCATTAGTTGATCCTCTAACCTTGACATTTATTATTATCATTGTTTAATCCTGACATTAATCTTATCTTCTTCTTCTTCCTCCTCTTCCTCCTCCTCCTCCTCGTCCTCTTTATTATTATTATTATTATTATTATTATTATTATTATTATTATTTAGTATTATTATTGTTGTTGTTATAGATTTGTTGTTGCTATGTTATAATTATTATTAATATTATTATTAATAATAATATTAATATTAGTATTAGTATTAGTATTTACTAGTATTATTGTTATTATTATGGATTTGTTGTTGTTGTGTTATTGTCTTTTATAATTTATACAATCAACCTCCCTGTGATTTGACCTCGGTCTTGCCAGATTATTTATTACTTTGACACTCTTGCACTTGGAAAAAGACATCAATCTTTTGGTCATCTTACCCGGGTTAAGGGTCGGGTTGATCATTTTCTCGTAAGGGCAAAATTATTTATTATTATAATTTTAAAACCTAATTTAAGAGTTTACCCGAGTCAAGACCAGGGTCATAGATTTTGTTTGGCATGTTGGACATTATTGAGACGCTAATTTTTATGTTCTTAGTGTCTTAATAGAATAATATTGATTGGACAAGACAAGATAGAATTTGACAAAGTAAATAATTGTCTCATGTTTGGTGTGCTTTGGACTCAATTAAATAATTTGTCTTATTTTGTGTTTGGTAAACACTACATAGGACCCAATCAACCTAAGGCTTGGACCAGTTCGGGTTTAATAAAAAATAGAGAAAATGTTGATACAATTTGACCGATTAAAAACTCGGGTCGATTTGTGACCCGATTGAACCAAGATAAAACACGGGTAAAAAACCCAATGATTTTTTTATCAAAAAAAGGTTGCTTTGTTTTTTTTTTAATTTGGGTCACCTCAGGTTAACTCTCCTAACCCAAAACCTGGATCAACCCGAGTTGACCCTTCTGACTCGTGACTCAGGACTTACCCAAGTTGACCTCCAACTTGAGTTTTAAGACTATGATAATACCCATTTTATTTTTATCTTGCTGACACGACGAAAAGATTGATGTCTTCTCCCAAGTGCAGGAGTGTCGAAGTAATAAATAACCCGGCAAGACCGGGGTCGAACCATAGGGAGGTTAATTGTACAAATTATAAATAACAATAATACAACAACAATAACAACAACAACAACAACAACAACAACAACAATAATATTAATAATAATAGTAGTAGTAGTAGTAGTAGTAGTAGTAGTAGTAGTAGTAGTAATACTAGTAGTAGTAATAATAATAATAATAAAGAAAGAGAAGAACAAGAAGATGATGAGAACTTGGAGATGAAATATTAATGTAAGGATTAAGCAATAATAATAACAAATGTCAAGGTTAGAGGTTCCACTAATGGTATATCAAACAAGTATAGTATAAACTCTTATTATTGAATTGGAAACCACACACAAAGGAGGTTCCAATCAGCTTATATATTGTTAACATGATTACATTAGTCATCTTATTCGATTAATGCTAATACTTGTAAATCTCGTCAAGCATTCATGATTATAACTTATGTTAACAACAAATCAAGTTCCTTTCATAGCTCAGATGTCGGTTATACCATACATTATGGGCTATGAAAGTGCCAAGCATTTGTTGGACCAAGTGTTATACAACATAAATCAAGATTAGTCATTTAACAAGCAAAGTATTAAAGAGTGTACAAGATAACAAATATAAAACATGTTAGTATCAAACATTAAATTCCATATTAAGTTTACACTATACTTATTCTTACACCATTAGTGTAACCTTTTCACCTTGACATAATTAACTTAGCTAGACATAATGAAAGAAATAAAAATAGATAAACAAAATAAGAACATAAAAGCTAACTAAGTAAAGGAAAGGAAATGAAAGGCATAAACTTAATATTAATGAAAACAAAGCATAAAAAATACAAAGAGAGAAAGGAAGAGAATGATCTTGATCTGGAAACCAAGATGCCTAAATGCATGGCAAATGCCTCCTTTTATAGGCCAAAATTGGGAACTATTGATTTGATGACTAATTGATAAGTGGGTGGCCAACTTTTGACTTGGTGACAATCCTTATCTTCTCTTGTCTGCCCAAAACGTCATTGATAACGTCCAAATTGGAGCCAGGTGTAAACATGAAAGTTGTAGACAATTGTCTCAGCTTTCTTGTGTAAACAATTCAGCTCATTTGGACTTCTAGAACTCCAGATATGGCCAAAATACCGAACAGTGCTCGGGCTGGAAGACAGATTCGGGCTTCTTTATTGTTGCTACAATTTGGACTTGATAATGGCCTTTTTAGATCTTGGGCTCCATATGAAAGTTGTAGGCCTATGTCTTACCTTTCCATCCATATAAATTGGACCTAAATCTGAGATATATAGCTCCAGATATGACCCATTTACCGAACAGTGTTCCGGTTTGGATTGCACCGACATCTCTTTTCTAAGTTTGGCCATCTCTTTATCCTTGCAATTTAAGTTCTTCAAGTCATCAATCAATCCTTTCATTTATCTTTGCCTTTGCAATTTAAGTTCTTAAAGTCATCAATCAATATTTTCATTTATGTGATAGGCTTGCATTTAAAATGAACATTTACCATAAATTAAAGGTATCTTATATTATTAGATATATTATTATAAAACATGCTTTAGTTAAGGAGTTATTGATACTTCAAGTGCAAAATGATGATATAAAACCATGATAAAAATGCATTTTTAAGTACTAATCACACCCCCCAACCAGCTTATTACTAGTCCCTAGTAATCAAAGCGTTAAAACAATTTGCAAATTTCACAAAGCAAGGTATTCATCATTTAACTTCCATTAATCTATCCAGATAAACAAACTCTCTTTAAATTTATATATCTGCTCAATACCTCTTAACAAGATATTAATAAACCTTTCTTTTGTGCTAAATGTATCAACACATAATTATGGGGCTTTTCTTGGAAGAAAACAAAATTTTTGTTCTAATATTTAAGGTTAACTTCCTTGGGTTGGGATTATTATTTTTATCTTTTTTTTTCTTTTAAAAAATCTATATACATATAATTTAAAAACATCATGCATCTTTAACCCATGTAACGAGCTTTCAGCTAATGACTCTCAGACCAGTTGGTCTTGGGGCATTAGGTGTTAAGACACCCCTACGAGCTTAGTAACTCAGGTCGCAGATACTGATATGTAGATAGTGCAATGTTTGATTCCCTTAAGCTTTTCTCCTGAACCCATGTAACAAGCGTTGGGCCAATAGCTCCCAAGTCAGTTGACTTTAGGGTATTAGGTGTTAAAACACCCCTTTGGGCTTAATTGCTTAGGTTAGGGAGGCTACGAAACCAAACTTATCTACATTTTTATTATCATCATTTTTTTTTAATTTTTTTTTTCATGTTTTTCCTTTTTTCTTTTTAATTATATACAATCCCTTTCCCTTAGTTGTTACCTTTAACAAAAGAACATAAATAATGTAATAATCCAATATGCAACCCACAATCATATGTTAAAGTGTGTGTGTGTAAATTAAGGTTTAAGAATACATGTTAAATAAGTATATGAGCAGAATTAAGTGGTAACAATACGAGAGTTTGTAAACCTGAATATTTCAGGAAGTATTATAATAGACCTTGTTAAGAATGGTTACTAAGATGCGTCTCAAGAGTCACTTTAACAAAAGAACTCCTTTACTCTACCATCCTAGTAACAACAATTATGCACATGCTTTATGAAATGAAAAAAAAAATTATTTTTTTTTTATCAACTACTACCCTCTCCCCCCAACCAAAACGAGACATTGTCCTCAATGTTTTAAGGTAGAAAGATAGAGTATAGAAGATATCACCTGAAATAACAAACACCAACAAACCTGAAACACACTAAAACAAAAATAAGAAATAACAAAAGACAATAATAAAACCAAAAGACACAAAAATTCACAAATGAAGATTCAAATTGCAATTGTGATTGTGGCTCACATCTTCCCTTGGTTTTATGTCCAAGAACAGCTTAAACGCCCTCTATGGGTCGGGGATAGGCTTCCCATCCAGTTTTCTTAAAAACTGGCAAACATGGTCTTTTTTAGTCAGATTTCCAAGACTATGCCAAGCATGTTCTTTTTGAAAATGGGTTCATAAGTCATGAATTACATTATGCGTATTTCGACTATGATGAGACTTAAGTGTCAATAGAAGATT